TTTTTAGTCTGGCTCCATGCCAATATTATCGTTGTAACCTCATATTCACAAGATGGGATTCAGACCATTTTATAATTTTGGACTTTATTTCCCGTTTAAAAAAAATCCTCCAGAGCCACAAATCTGAAAAAGAAAATGTAATACTCTGCCATAAAATGTTTGAGACATATTAAAATAATAAAAGAAGAATATTCGTATTTATTTGGGGATGGGAAAAAAAAAACTTAGAAATGTGGCGGCGATCGGATTCGAACTCCAGTCATCCCACTCACTAGAGCTTTTGCTTAACCACTACACCGAACGTGCTACACAACTTTTGGTGGGAATTTAATACATCTTATAATTCAGCCCTATTTTAAAGAGTACAGTGCCCTCTGTTGATATGGATTGCCGCCGGCAAACCTTTAGTAAACGTTAGTTTGCCGTCATTACCTCGGGCAAAATATCCACTATCTTCGAAAAAACGTTCTTTGGTCCCAATATTTTCATCCATCTGGCCAAAAGACGACTTTCAGTCATCATCTTCCACAAATATCGTCCCGAAAATGTCCTCCATGTGATTTCAAAATGGCGGCCGCGTTTTTATGTATGCATTATGCGGGCGCGCTTGGGCAGCATCAAGCAAATGCCACCCCGCACTATTTGATTTTACGGAGGCCAAGTGTCCGGTGAAAAAAACATGTCGACATTTCAGCACAGGTTTGCAAGTGCCCCTTTTTGGTGATGCCCCCCCCCCCAGTTTCAAACCCGTTCCACCGCCGCTGTTTATCAGCGAGGGCTCCGTTTCGAATATCGCGTGGATTCCATGTTCAAAATATTCCTCCTTTCTTTTCCAATTTTAGTAAAGTATGGGGATAATGGCGACAGGTGTCCAACATGACCTGATGAAGCAGGCACAGTGCTTTTGGTCAATGCTGGATGAGCTTGCAGAGACCGATGAAGATGCATACAGGAAGTTCATGGCCACAAACCTCCAAAGAGGACAGCAAGAATTGACACCGGCCAAGCCATGTGTGTCAAGGCTGAATGTATGTGTGTGTTTACAGTAACATCCTAACAATTATCCAGGTTGGTAGCGAGACAATTTTTTTTGTTTTTAATTTTCTTTCTTATGTTTGTCTGTCAGTCTGTTATTCTTTGACTTTGTTTATTCTAGGGTGCATTGTTCCTTCACCACAGACACACAATCAAGGTATCATTGGAAAGAGGACACATTGGCGTTTCACATGATCTTGAATTTATTTCAAAATATGTATTAGATTTTGTATAATTTACATTTACATCTGGGTTTCCTTGTTTTGATACACCCTGTATTGAGCAGAGCAACATGAACAGCATCAAAGTTTCAGCTATTAATTATGAGACAATGGGAGTTTGTCCCATCCAATAATGTATACTGTGGTGACAAGTCAAGCTCAGACTCTCAGACCGTTGGATTGATTTGGTTAGACTTACATGTAGCAGGCGTGGCACATTGACAAGCACCTGTTGTGTGTTGTTTAATTGAGCAGTTGAGCAGGGTGTTAGCCAAAGTACTGGAACTGGTCATAAAGGTTAAGGTGTAACACCAAGAATTGACTAATATCCCATGTCTGGTTTTGCCGTACTGAATAATCCAGTACTGTACAGCCAAGCCACTACTTCAATAGACTTCATGCTGAGCGGCCATCTTAGAGAACAATGCAAATATACTGCTTGGATAGGCATGACAACTTGACCTCTTTATGTGGCCAATCTGCCTGTACACCATTCAACAACATCTGTAGGCCTCTGTAGGTTTTGTTTTTTAAAATGTACCTTTTTTTGTATAGGAATTGACTCTTCTAGTCACAGACAATATTAAGAGTTGCGTCTGCCACTACCAGAGATAATACGAGAAGACGATTCCACAGCCAATTCAACAGACATCATCACTCACTGTTGCCATGGCAACCAGGATGGTAAGTTAATACTTTCACACTTTTTATATCTGAATGCTGCAGATGAAGTTGCACAGCCGCGGGCAAGTTGGATCAAGGACCAATGGTTAACTAGTGGTTGGTTCGTGACGTACCTAGCGCATGCGCAGTGAAGATAATGTACCAATAACGAGTCTAGTTGGATCAAGGACCAATGGTTAACTAGTGGTTGGTTCGTGACGTACCTAGCGCATGTGCAGTGAAGATAATTATGTACCAATAACGAGTCTAGTTGGATCAAGGACCAATGGTTAACTAGTGGTTGGTTCGTGACGTACCTAGTGCATGCACAGTGAAGATAATGTACCAATAACGAGTCTAGTTGGATCAAGGACCAATGGTTAACTAGTGGTTGGTTCGTGACGTACCTAGCGCATGTGCAGTGAAGATAATTATGTACCAATAACGAGTCTAGTTGGATCAAGGACCAATGGTTAACTAGTGGTTGGTTCGTGACGTACCTAGTGCATGCACAGTGAAGATAATGTACCAATAACGAGTCTAGTTGGATCAAGGACCAATGGTTAACTAGTGGTTGGTTCGTGACGTACCTAGCGCATGCGCAGTGAAGATAATGTACCAATAATGAGTCTAGTTGGATCAAGGACCAATGGTTAACTAGTGGTTGGTTCTTGACGTACCTAGTGCATGCGCAGTGAAGATAATGTACCAATAACGAGTCTAGTTGGATCAAGGACCAATGGTTAACTAGTGGTTGGTTCGTGACGTACCTAGCGCATGCGCAGTGAAAATAATGTACCAATAATGAGTCTAGTTGGATCCAGGACCAATGGTTAACTAGTGGTTGGTTCGTGACATACCTACACTGTACATGTAGCGCAGTGAAGATAACGCACCAAAGAGTTTAGTCGACTATAATCATGTAAAAGCCCTGTACTTTCTTCCCGGTATTTTTGCAGATATTTTTTTCTCTCCCCAAACCTTAATGACTTTGTAGTCTAAAGTCTTGCACATCTTTTGATTCCAAATTCATAAAATTCCAAACAAGGGTTACTGCACAGCGCCACTTTTTTTGATGCTGCGCACGGCAAAAGTGGAATTTTCCCATGTATTATTGATAAGGCAGTATTATCATTGGTGTATGTGGGGTAAAACATTAGGCAATAATTCCAAAACCCTTTGATATAGTAATACAATTTCTTGTGTATATTGAGTTGATCTATGTTATGTGCCAAATTTCATAAATTTCATAGCAAATACACTTTTTGGGCTCCATCTTCTCATGCTGTGGCATCCTTCCAGACAAAGCTGCTCCCTGGAGAGATCTTCCAAAAGATGTACCGTTTTCTGGCAAAAATGTATGGTTAGCGGATAGGCTGTGAGTGATATGAATGCTATACACAGTTGGACGGTATTGCCTTGTACTATACCGTGGTATACCGTGACAAAAAAACCGCGGTATTCACTAAAACCGCGATGTTATGTTAAGTGGTATTACGTCATTATTATCAACCAAAAAAAATTACAGCAATCAATGCATGCTACGTCGAACCGGCAAAACACGCAATTGCTTCTTCATGGCAAATTCTTCAACACCTAAGATTCATTATCAGTCTTTATATTTGTAAAAATGTATCACTATGATGGATTATTAAAAATAAAAAGCCTTCTTTTTGTGGAATCATTGTTTGAATTTGTAATGTCATTGATATGCCTACCAAAGAAATGCCGATTGTTATCGACCGATGCCCAGTCATAATGCCCGGCACTGCACCACACCACATGCACTGCGAACTTGCTCCGCACGATCAGTATGCTATCAGTTGGTACCCTGCATCAATGGTAGTGATTCAATAGGCTCCTGCGATTCATGCCGGCCACCAGCGATTCCTACTGTGCGTGCGCGCGCAGCAGCGGCGACTGTACTGGTACTATAATATCGCCCTGTTTGCAGGGCGGGAGTACGACGATACAATCAGAGCAGACGCCAATAGGAGGCCGTAATCGGTGTGACGAAACCTTACCATGAATGAAAAATGTTCTGGGCGTCTTTTTAGACGGCCAATCAGATTTGTTTAAAATGACATTAGCCCGCGGCGTGCGTGCAAGTAGTGCGTGGGAAAAGCACGTGTGTATTACCTTGAGCTGTGTGGAGTATGCGCTCTCTTATTGTACCGACATACTATGTACACGCATACTGTGCGTACGACTGTACATGTACATGTAATGTACGTGAGCCTTGTACAAACACGTGTAGTGACCCAATCCACTATTTTTTTCGTTTCGCCTGAGAAGTTGGGAACAAACAAAAGATGACCTGACAATTCTAAAAAGTGATTTTCAGTAGTGATATTAACCGTGAAGCATAATTAACTCAATAGCCTAAAACTCAGTTGAATATACAGAATTACAGATGTCACTTCCCAAATCTTTATTTCGAGTAAATATGAAATAAAATAAATATTATGTATGATCATGAAACATGTTAACTGTTTATTAACGTTCGAAAAACGAAAATCACAAGTTTCTGGTTAACCTCTCTGCCTCCGCAGTAAACAACAGAAACATTGCTTTTAATAACAAGTTTGGTTGTCTGCGAAAGAGTTGTGTTCTCAGACTCTTACTAATCTTAGGTTGGTTTCCTGACTTTCCTCTTTCAATTTAGCTAGTACGAAATAATGCGAAATTGAAAATGTATTTACAATATTTACAAACATAAGAGACGAGTCAGGCAACAGGCCGAGCCCGTCAGGATTTTTTGTGGTTTCCAATCAGAAAAATATGTGCTACCAGTTAGTTAAGAGTAAAATGTATTCTTTTCAATCTCTGGATGCTACTATGCTAGGAGTGCCACTTTGGCTTGAAATGTACTTGGGTTAAAAGACGTCCAAATAAAAAAAATGACCCCCAAAAAATAAGTAAATAATTTTTTAAAATAAATAAATAAATAAAAAAAACAAAAAAAACGAATGTATAAATAATAAATACATAATGTTAAAAACAAATAAAGGGGAAACAAATCATCATATAGAGGCCGTATTTAGTTTTAGTGTTCATTGAAGTTATCGCCACCGTTAACGTTTACAAGTTCTTTGCCAAAAACACCAGCATGTTGACTTTGTCCGGTTTTAGAAGGGATCGTTGTGGTGAGACAACATGTCCCGCGGTACTAAACAGTCGTTCGGAGGGGGAGCTGGTAGCGCAAATGCATAAGTATTTCCTGCTTAGCTTGGCCAGAAGTGGAAATGACCGTTGATGGTCGCGCCACCACATAAGGGGATCCGTTTCTCCGTCTACATCATCCAAAACCATGGACAGGTACCGCTCAAGTTCTACATTTGCCCGCTGGTCTATGGGCGTGGTCGGGTCCTCTGAGCGTCTTTTCTTCCCCAGTACATTACCCAGGGTTAGTTTCCGCTTCTGTGGTGGTGGATTAGGGGCGATCACTGGTTGGTCTTCCTGTTGTTGCTCCATGACGTCAGGTGCTGGTGCCGGTGCGGCTTGCTCTGTAATCTCATCTACGACCGTGGCCTTTGTTGACTGGAGGCGGTCCTCTTTGAAGTTGTCGGCACGGTAGCGCGGATCAAGAAGGGTGGCCACATGAAGCAACTCTTGTGTCTTTTCGCGGTCGTAGAGAGAGTCCATCTTTCTCATGATTGATCTCTTGATGTCTGCGGTTAGCTCAGCATCAGCCTCATCGTCCTGTAGTACATTGGTCTGAAGATGGTGAAGCATAGGGACCAGTGATGAAACAGTGACGTACTCCTCACCGGACATAATGTCGGTGAAGGCAGCCACAGGTTTCAGGGCCTTGTTTACTGCCTCCAGAACGCTGATATCCTGCCACGTCGGCAGTAGATGGGAATGTGCACGGTCCTCGGCGAACAATCTGCGTATGGCCGGCGCTTGCTCCAGGATTCGCTCGATCATTTTCTGCTTGGAACCCCATCGAGTGGCACAGTCCTGAAGGATTAGAGATTTAAAGAAAATAACGAATTTAACATGTGTCACGAAACTTAGGAAAAGACAAAATAAGAAATGTTTTTATAAGTATATATACATTTACGAGATTTACCGATTACCGAAATTATTTTTTAATATATTAACTCTATTATTAGTTACTTTTTAAATCCACAATTATAAAGAGGTCAACAACATTAATGTGTACCTACCGTGATGAGTGAGTGTTCTGGCAGATTCAGGTTGCCTTGGGTTTTGGTGAGTTCTTTCTTCAGAGACCAGCTGTGAGAAAAACTTCCGACGATGGAGCGACACAGCCCGAGAGCGCGACTTGTTCGCTGGCGCTGAGGTTCATCGGTGATTGCTCTGGTCACTCCCAAGTTGAGGTTGTGGCCGAAACAATTCAGCCAAGGCCATTGTAACTGTCGGATAGCAGCAACAATGTTGGCTCCATTGTCTGTTGTAATGCAAGATAATTTGCTTACAGGCAAGTTCCACTGTGTTAACGTGGAACGGAGAGCGTTGGCGAGATTCTCCGCAGTATGGCTTTCTGGCAGGAAGGAGGTGTCCAGACATCTGGACTGAAGCTTCCAGTCCGGCGAAATGAAATGAATTGTGAAGCTCATGTATGGCTCCATATTGGAACTGGACCACATATCTGTTGTGGCGGAAAAAAAATCTGCCTCGCGCATCTCATCCTCCACCCGCGACCTAACTTGCGTGTACAGCTGCGGAATGGCGACTTTGCTGAAATGTCGCCGTCCTGGTAACTCGTACTGCCGATCGAACTTCGACAACATGGCTTTGAAGCCGCGTTTCTCCACAGTGTAAAACGGCAGCATTTCCTTGGCAAGAAAATGAGTAACAGAGTCAGTCAGTTCCTTCCATCGCGAACTCTGTCGAGAATACTTAGTGGCCCGGGAAAATGCGTCTTTAATCGTGCCCTGCTTGACGCTGGTTGATGCCGTAGACTCCGTTGATGTTGATGCTCCCGGGTCCACGCCCAAGCCTGCCGAGGACCGTGATGCAGCATCAGTAGCACGCTGTTTCCCAGTAGTGATTCTGGCGTGCGTTGCAGGATGGTTTGCACGGACATGAGCGAGTAGGTTCGAAGTGTTTCCCTGCTTAGCGGCGACTTTTTTGCGGCAGAGGCGGCATATCGCTTCATTTTCGTTCTTTGGCGCTCCATCTTCGTTTGGCTCGAAACCGAAGTAATTCCACACAACTGATTTCGTTTTTTTCTTTGCCACTAGGCGTATTTCTGCGACGTCTGCGAGGTCTGCCATGTTTGATTCGAGAAATTGAAGTGGGTGTGGAGCAGTTTTTGGGCCGCATTTTTATACCACAAAAGACAGGCTTTACTTATTAACAAAGATAAAACAATGTTGGTGACAGTACTACTAAGTATTTTGTCTCCGAAATAACGTGTACCCAACGTTTATTTTATTACAAACTTCCATCAAACTACCACTCCTTGGAAACTGATCTGATTCTGTCAAGACTACTTATATAAACTTCACTCCTGCCGACCCCGTCTTCAGCTTTTTTAATCTCTTTCAGTGTCTAGCGGGTGTGTAGATGTTGATTGTTGATTACCCGTTGAACTCATGATGCCTTATAAAAATGTCAAACACGGTGATCAATTTTTCTCAAATTATAGCTAAGAATTAAAGAAAGGTACGCCGTGGAACAAGGATTGTTTTGGCGGTCAAAACCAAGACTTGTAGCGGTGTTTCTTGTCGCTGATATTTTTGGAAACTTTATTTTAGCAAAAATACGCACGATGATTCAGAATTAAAATCCCCTAAAACAACCACGGAAAAACGACACAACCAGTTTTTGTTACGACCGTCAAAACATCCCCTGTGTATGGTAAACGTTGTTTGAACTTTCGTCCAGACACTACACACAAAGAAAACCGCAAACACGGCGGCGTAATCAAACTTCAAAGGCCTTTCTAGTAGGACTGCAGCCGCTGAAGTATTGGGTTATCAAGTCGAGATTGACAATAACGTCTTATCTTTCCACTTAATTGACAATGCAGACATGACACTGAATGGAATGAAACATGTGGATCAGGTGTTTCTCTTTCTGTTTGAAAGACCTTTGCAAGGTTCTGAATGCAATTAGGAAGAATATCGCGGTATTGAAATTCCATACCGAGATCGCCGGTGTTTCGGTTTTTGTAGATCATTAGTCGTCATTAGTCGGTTATTAAAAAAAACCTTCACTATCCGGTTATACCGAAATACCGTCCAAGCTTAACACAGTGGTATTTTGACTGTTAATGGATTAGGAACTTATCCCACGGCTGCCCTGGAAATGCTTCACCTTATTTCTTTACAGAAACCTAACAAAAATAAAGTGTTTAGAAGTTGTAGTTTTGAGGCTTCATGTGGCTAGGCTTATGCATATTTGGTTTTTTTAGAGTGTCCAGGAATAATTTGAAGTGTTTTGTTTGTTTACTTTTGTCTGGCTGGTTCACAGTGTGATTTGGTTATAATTTGTGTTTATCTTGGGGATGATATCAGTTCAAATAGATTACAGACTACAGACAACGGCGGCCTATGAAGAGATGCAGGATGATTGACAATGCAGACGGTTCAAATGTCATTGCTGAGTGGTTTTTGGCACGCTATGGTGCCTTGGATCTTGGATAGGTTCACTTCCAAATACTCCTGTATTTTAGCTGTTTTAACTCGCTGTGCTGGCCTTGCATTGAGTAAACGTATGAGACTTTCAGGTCCAATCCAGCTGGACAAGTTTAGTCTTGAGCAATAACTTGTCGTATGTGGTACAGGTATATCCATTGAACTGGTTCAGGTGTTACATATATCAAATTCTTGCAGTTCTTGCAATCCCCTGAGCAGCTAATGACAGTGTACATGTGGAATCCCTGGAGGCAGTTTGATTGGTCACCTGTTGTCTATTATTTAAATGAAGCGCGCTGTTGGTTTGACATTGGTTTTACAATTTTCAAAATGTTCTGAATTACTATGTGATGATATCTGAGGGCTATATTTTAATTGTTGTTTTTACTTCTTTTACCCTATGTGGCGTTGGAACTTTGTCAAATTCAGTTAACCTGAGATATGTCAGTTATGTCAGTTATGTTTCATCATTTATAACAAAGTTAAATGTTAAATGAGACTTTAAGGGTTAGTGCGGTGGACATGACCAATGTATGGGAGGTTGCAGTAACACCATGTGAATGATATCTCTTAGTGAGTTGTGTAGTTCTGAGAAGAACCAGTTTGTTAAGGCCTAACTCGCCATTCTGAACAGTATGCTCTGTTTGTCATCAGGAGACTGCTGACGAACAGAGCATACTGTTCGAAACGTCGAGTTAAACCAACTGGTTCTTCTCAGAACCACACAACTCACAAAGAGATATCATTCACATGGTGTTACTGCAAACCTCCCATTCAGTGAAAGTTATGTTACTTAATTTGTTCCTGTTCATTGTTATAATATTGAAACAGCAAAGTGACTTAATGGTTACAAAATAGACCCAAAGAGATAAAATCCTCTTGAATGCAACTAACAAGTGTAATGCTGACATGCAATCCTGTAATCATATCCTATCACTATCCTGTTGGACGGCTTTACAGGGTCCCTGCATTTTAAGCGTAGGTGCATTCTGGTTGGGGTACAACTAGCCATGTGACCTGCCAATGGAACCATGTCACATGACACAGTCCCTGGGAATCAAGCTTATGTGTCATCCACCAAGAGTGTTCTTGGTGTCACCTAAGTGTGGAACGATTCAACATTCCTGGGAATGAGCTGACGTGCCGTTTAAATTGATGGGTTCCTGGTGTCATGTGATTGGTGAACTTTGCAATATCCCTGGGAATGAGGTGTCGTTTATGTACTGTGTGTATTCCTTAATTGAGTCAAGTAATTGTTGAGTGATGCAACATCCAGGGAGTGAGGGAATGCGCCGTCCAATTGGAGACCTGGGCCCCTGGGTATCACGCAAGAGGCTGATGATAACCGTCTTTATTTAATAATGACCTAAAAATATCCGTCAGTTTCATTGGTGGGTATCGAGTGGGTGCGGCACAAAGAGATCACGTGCAAAGATATAATATGCAAATGTCGATACCAAAGCCGACATATATAAGATTTTGCATGCGAGGGTTTCATCAGATTGAGGACGTCGCACTCAGCCATTGCATGCCTTCATTTATGAAGTCTGCTCACAGACATTGAGTTGTACTTGGACTGGAGTGTTTGCATCCTGTAGAGTGTACACGTACATGTGTGTACCGGTACATAGTGTAATGTAGCCCTCCGTTCTGCCCAGAAAGGTAAGAGTTCAAGCTGCTTTATCCGATGAGAAATTCAAGTATTGTGGTTCGTTAGTTACATGTACACAATTCTGAACTTGTATTTGAAATGCTCCTTCACAGTTTTGCAATCAGGGTATTGATTGACATTCACATACTTGCGTAATTGGTGGTACCCTATTGTTCCCCCTCAAAAGCAAAGCGGGAATCTGTGCGGGCAGCAAGAATATAACCCTTTGAGGCAGAGTGAGAGAGCAATGGTTTTGTATCACTAGGATAGGCATGAGTAAACCTATTGTGCTTTCATAAGGGAATTAATAGTTGTTTGGCCAGTTTTACTGGTTTGGAGTCTGGATGCTGATAATGACCTAAGTCGAAGGGGAGGATAATTATCGGCATCCGATTTCAAACCAATCTTAAACATAGTGTTTAATACTGGCCAAACGCATATTTATTCCCATTCATAAATATACTTTTTTGGACAAACAGTTAACAGAAGTCAAAAATTGTAAATTTCCAAACATTTGGTTCAACAGTTTACTTCATGTTTTTTTAAAAGCCCCTCTGGCTTACGAGTACTCGGTAGTTGTAGAAACCTCCTACAGTGTGTATATGGAGATTGGCCTTGCGGGCACTGCCCGATTGACGCAGAATGCAACTGTGCTGGTGTAGTGTGAATTTTGGACTATGAAGTACAGACACACCGATAGTGTTGTGTATGCCTTACCGAGGATTGTAAACATTCAACCAATAAAAGGGTAAAAGGGATCAGTGTTAAAGACCAGCCAGTCAGTGTTTAATCAACCATTTAAGATGGCTGCATGACGAGCTCTCAACCAATAGAAATGGGTAAACTGTCTTAGGTGTTTATTAATTGTTGATAAATTGCGAGTAAGACAACCATCTTGAGACACCCACGTTGCATGACTGATATGAAATCTACACAGTTTGATTTTTGAGGACCAACATTTTGTACCTTGGAATTCCTTCTCAAAATAGTTACATGATGACCATCATTTTTAAGGGTATACATGTAGTTGTGTTAATGTTTGTAAATACTTTTAAAAATATTATAAGTATCATGATTTTGAGGGGGGGGGGGATGCTTTATAGTGCGCAAGAGAACGCATTCCAAATGAAACTTTTCTTAAACTTTGGACAATTTTTAAGTACGATTACATTATGACGTAAGTGGTAAAATAGCTTTTTGGGGCAAGTGATACTCCTGTTGTGTCGGCTTGAAGTAAGTTACTCTCAAGTAAGGCAATGCTACATGTAAACATTTCAAGGGAATGTACAACATTTGCTTGTGCTGCAATTTTCAGAAATAAATGGATTTGGAGGATTAGTATGTTATAGCAAATATTGTTACACTGACTTGTTTCACGTTTTGGGTTGGTGCTGGAAAAACCAAGAAAACCAATCATATTCTTGAAGTCTGGTTTCCTGACCCACTTAAAATGAAACGGAGCAATTACAGGCTTTAGGTAATTGTAAGATCAGAGAATCAGTCTAGCAGGCTTGTAGTTCTTCACAGGTGTGAAATCAATTGCAAAGAAAATGCATACGAACTAAATATGAAAAATTAGGAGCACTTTTAAAAAAAAAGTTTTCCCTAGCACTGGTTGGCGAACCAGCATTGGAAAAACACATTTTTTCTTGAAAATGTCAGCACACCAGGAGCCACAACTTTACAGGATGCTTTAGACTGGCATTCCCTATTAGTCCAGTAAGATATTTCGTGATAATTTGATCATTTCGTTTTTTGATGTTTGCAAATGTTGTATCTTCCCTTTAAGAGTCATTTTGTGTATATACTTCATAAAGTGTCCATGTGCAGTCAAAAAATTGAAAGGACTTGGGGAGTAAGAAACCACAATATACTTTTTAAATCAGTATTTAGAGGCTGCAAAAATTCATTTTTTTGTATTATTTTTGTATTAAAGGCCATCAAGCCAAAACACGAAGTAATGTCACAAAAGTAACTATATCACGACAAAGTATCATCCTTACCCTTAACAAGAAAAAATAGAAACACTTTTGAAAAATCATCTTAATATTATTTTTAGGCACTTCAATACAGCATGTTTTTACAACTAGCTAAATTGCATTTTTTACGTCATTTTTAATACTCCAAAATAGCACCTGCCAGGGCACTCGGAATGATTTCCCTTCCGTTATGGTTAGTTCAGACATTGGTCTGGTGAGAAATCTTGGGTTATTGTGTATCCTTTGAGCAGTGGTGCTCCAAAAATGGTAATTTTCACAAAAAACCTTAAAAGGTGTATTTTCAGTTTTGCTATTTGTTTTGAGTAATAACTTGTGTAATTGGAATTATTCCTGAATCTAAAACATTTTTACAAACAGAATCACACTATGTATCATTGTTAGAGTAGTGGATGAATAGTAAGTTGTATAGTCCCCCCACACACCCAGCTAGGCCTCGCCCATTCCCCCTTTGCCACCAAATTTAGATCTGGCATGTTGATTGTATAACGAAACAAATATATAAACTAAATAATTTGCAGGTGAAAACTTTAGAAATTACACAGCTTCCTTTTCACAGCCTCCCCTTCCCCCCACCCCTGGGGCATTGCTTGGGGTTGAGGGTGGGGTGTGACCACCCAACAATAACTTGGGTTTGTCGGAAAATTATTGTCACGTCGGCAAACATCATGTGTTTGCAAGCTAGTGTGAATAATAATAGCCCTATCCATTGTCCTCTGATTGAAGTGCATCATTAGTAATTGATGTCCAGTCATCCCCACCCAGCTAGGCCCAGCCCCTTCCCTTGCCACCTAATTCAGATTCTGATTGCTGTATGTACATGTATTTGCCCAAATAGATATCAATTTGCAGGTGAACCTGCCAAAATTTACACCAGCAGCTGTCTCACAGCCCCCCCTCCCCCACCACCCCTCTTCCTTCTCCACCTCCCCCTC